ATAAACGGTAATTATTTTTTTCTACGACCACTATGTAATTTGATCATTACAGTAAAAGTCTTAATAACTGAAAGTTAGTCATTACGCACACGTGCGTAATGGTAATAAAAAAACACACTTTTAGGGTTTTTCTGTCTATTTTGTTTTTTTCTGGGGATTTTTGTTTATATTATTAAGGTTATGTTGGTAAAGCTGCTGTGAACTGTCAATATTTGACGACTGTCACTGACAGTCTGTCAGTGTACGGCGATGAAACTTGAACACAAAAATTTTGTAATAAACTACATAGAATTATCAAAAAAATTGAGATTTTCACGATTAAAGTAATTTTGAAATAACATTGATAGTATACTAGCCAATTGCAATAAAAAAAGTGGAGAAACTTCTGTATTTAATGATTCTGAAACTATTAATGTGGACCAGTCGGTAAACAACGATAGTATAATTGTCAATTGTAATAAAGAAAATGCAAATCCCTTACGTTTAATAATTGTACAGTTACCATTAATAATTACTATAAAGAAATGTAAGTGGTTCATTAGCATAAATAAATTAAAATTTTTGGGAGTTTTTATTTTTTATTTTTTTTTAAGGCGAACAGAGTGTGGTCGTAGAAAAAGTATAGTACACAACTCGTGTGGGAAGGCAAATTACGCATTCGTGGAAATGCGACTTTTTCCACTCATGCGTAATTTGCCACTTCCCACACTTGTTGCGTAATATACTATTATCTACGCCAGTGAGATAAGAACTTCTTATCCCACTCATTTTGAGTGAGATAAGAAGTTCATTAACGCACGCGTTTTTCTCTGCTTTTAACCAATCAAATAAAAAAGTCAAAATGTCAAAATGTCAAAATAACCCTAAATTAAAGTCTTAGACAAAAATAATTACCGTTTATTTTTCCATTTAGAGGCGTAGATAAAAATTTGTACAATATACGTGTGATAACGCTTTATTAACGTACTTTTGCGATTGCCCAACTCGTGCTACGCACTCGTTGGGCAAATTTCGCATGCGTACGTTAATAAAGCTCTTATCCCACTTATATCGTAAATAACTATTGTCTAAGACTTAATTTAGGGTTATTTTGACATTTTGACTTTTTTATTTGATTGGTTAAAAGCAGAGAAAAACGCGTGCGTTAATGAACTTCTTATCTCACTCAAAATGAGTGGGATAAGAAGTTCTTATCTCACTGGTGTAGATAAAAATCATTTTAATAATTTGCTCGTATTCGCTTATTTTAGGAATTGCGATTACTTCGTCTCACTGTTGTTTAAATTTGAGCGTGCTCTTTACCGGCACCGATAGACGGCCTGTTTCCCTCTTTTGGAGCTCGTCACTATCGGGTAGCCGTTTACCTAGGTCTAAGACCGTTTGGTATGAAGCACGCTCTAAATTCTACTTCGCCGCTTCTTATATCAAACACAAGCAGTTACAGCGGTGAGAAGAAAGAATCGCATTAAAATGTCATAAATGTGACGTCTCCAAGTTGACGTCTTAAAGAGTTAATAATATGATTTCAGTAGGAAGTAAGAAAAGAGAATACTGTAAGATATCATATAACTAAAGTCTTATTTATGATACCTACCCTTAGTAGCTTCTAATTTTGATTCCAATAAGAGAAAAAAAGATACTTTAAGATGTTAAAAAATTTACATCTTATTTATGAATTCATCAAGAACTCTTAATCTTGAGCTCCTAAAAATGATTTTTCTAAGATGTGATATTGTGACCTCAGTAAGATGTTTTTCAACAGACTTCGTACAGAAATCTTTCTGAATTGGATGCTGTCTGGGGGGTCTAAGTTACAAAAATAAAATTGTGAGTTATCAATGAAAAACAAATATTTTGCAGATGTAAATGTTGAAATGTCTGAAACACGTTTGGAATTGCATATTCCGCTCTCCTGAAACCGTCAAACTCGCCTTCGGCTCGTGTGACAAACTCTTCACTCGAGCGGATATGCTGTATTCCAAACTTGTTACAGAATATACTATTAAGTCATTCTGCATGACACAAACTATTTTTAAATGATAATTTATTATTTAACCAACTTGGCACTTAGACCCTTAGACTTCCGATATAAGTCTAGGACGTTCGGACCTATGTGGGACCCGAAATGGACGTCCTGGGTACCTCTTGTGCTATCTGGGAATGTCATTATAAACTCATAGAAATTTAATGTTAGTCCCATATATATATATATATATATATATATATATATATATATATATATATATATATATATATATATATATATATATATATATATATATATATATATATATATATATATATATATATATATATATATATATATATATATATATATATATATATATATATATATATATATATATATATATATATATATATAGATAGATAGATATGGGTGTGCCAAAATCCACCAGCCGCCACAGGCTGTAGGTTCTTTTCACCGTGACCACTGATTTTCTGTTACTGTCGTCACCAAATATAATTTTGTTTGTTTGCTTTATTTTTTATTTCATGTTTTAACTTTACATATTAATAAAAACAAAATTTAATTACCTATTTAAACTTACTTACTTTCTACATTAATCCTTTTCCAACATAACGATGCATCGCGACCGTCGTAAAGATTATTTACTATGTTCTTCGTACTCGATTACTGTTCAAAAAACCCAGTTAAAGTTTTTAAGGTTTATTGATAGCCTGATAAAATTTATGAATGAATCCAACGTCCGCACGCGTGAATCTTCAGAAATAAACTTCAACTTCGTTTTTTATTAAACTTATAAACGCAAGCTTTCAGCAAGGTATTTTAAGTGAATGTTTTAAGATTTAAAAAATTCTCGTGCTCTTGTCTGCATGTGGATGGCTACGTGAAGGGCAAGGGCGGTAAACACATGATTCTGGTCTAAATGGGCATAGTTTTCAAGACCATTTAAGCCTACGTTTTGTATACCTCTTGCACAAAAGGCACCAAGGAAGAAGAAGGAGAATATAGGAAACCATTCCGTTTTTAATATTAGTTGCATCGAAAACTTGTAGTTGTAGGTACCATGGGCGCCGGCAGAGGGGGCAAAAGGGGGCAGTTGCCTCCCCTGTAAAATTAAAATTTTATAAAAAAGCGCATTAATTAATTTAAATGCGCCTAAAATTTTAAAGCTCATTTAAATGTTTAAAAATAGATACTTAAAATTGCACTTAATTTTGTTTGCCCCTTCCTGGATTATCTTCGGCCGGCGCCCATGGTAGGTACTAAATCTATATATCTGTATATAATATATAATATTTTTTTAACATGTCAACTTCATGGCGCATGGCGTGTCGTAGTTTTCTGAAATAACAGCTAGAGAAGAACTAAAAATGTGTAGGCAATATAGGCAACCCAGTTAACGTTAATATTAAATTGAATGAACTATTTATAACACAGGCCAACAAAAAAAATATTCTGTTTGGTGCATGGCAACCAACAACTTTTTAATGGTAATTTAGGTACGCTGAATCCAAAAATGAACATAATTTTGCTCAATCAGCTCTTGTTTTTGCGATGTAGAATAAAAACCATTTTTTCGATATGCGCACATTCAATTTCTTATATATATTTTTCTAATTTCAGCAAGTATAGTTGGTAATGTTGCTATGGGTCTTTATTAAACTAAAAAAATACCATATACATTGATAATAGTATTCTCTTTAAAAATCTTGCTTTCTTTGAAAGAAAATCGATTTTTTAGCCAAAATTCGGATATTTTTAAAATTCAAAGTGATACAGCATGATCAATTTTTGCCGATTTAAATAAAATTTACCCTATTTGTAGCTCTATTTATCTACTCTATAGTGTCAAAATTTCAATGCAATCAAAAATTGATTGAGAGTAGTGCTGCCGTGCTAAGCCAAATCCCCGTATCTGCAATATTAAATAAAAATTCATTTTCATCGTTAAAAACAATAAAAACTATCTTTTGTCCTTTATTATTTAATATTGTAGATACGGGGGTTTATCTTAAAATCAGGTCCAAAATCCTAGGCACAAAAATTGTCCACTTAAATAGGCTCTGTGAATATTAATAGCTATTCACGGAGTTTATTTAAGTGGTACACGTAGTACCCAATTTTGGTTTATTTTATTGTTGTCAATTTTTATTTGATTCCATTGAAATTTTATCACAATAAAGTAGATAAATAGAGCTACAAATATCACTTTGAATATTAAAAATTTCCTAATTTTGGCTAAAAATCGATTTTATTTCGATGAAAGCAAACTTTTTAAAGAGAATACCATTATCAATGTATATGGCATTTTTGTTACAGTTTAATAAAGACCCATCAGCCATTCCACGCTATTCGGGAATTTTTGTAGCATCCGCTACAATAAAAAATTGTGAGTAAAACTACCTTAATTATTATGCTTATAAGTTTAAGCCCAATTATTACAAGCATAATAAACATGTGTACAATATTAACTATTGTAACAGTATTTAATTTAATTACGGTAGCTTTTACTCACAATTTTTGATTGTAACGGACGCTACAAAAATTCCCGAGTAGCGTGGAATGGCTGCCATAGCAACATTACCAACTATCCTTGCTTAAATTAGAAGTTTAAAAAGCATTTGAATGTGCGCATATAAAAAAAATGTTTTTTGTCTACATCTCAAAAATAAGAGCTGATTGAGCAAAGTTATGGTCATTTTTGGATTCGGCGTACTCAAATTACCCTAAAAAAAGTTGTTGTCTACCCTGCACCAAAATGGCTGTCGGCCAGCCTATAGGCTGGCCGACAGCCATATATATATACAGGTATATATTATACATACAGCTATATATTATAATAGTTGCCATATTTTAAAATTACTCCTAAAATTATGTTATTATTATTTTTAATATAATTATTATAATTATTATTATAATTATAATTAACTAATTACTTAAATTCTTAAAAACAATTAACAGGTTGGGTATATTATTATTTTTCATTAAATAGATAGGTTTAAATAAAAACCCATTTCACTATAATAAGGTAATATAATTTACAATTGGCAGTGTTTTAATACAAAATTTGTGAGTTAGAAAATTACAAAACAGCAGTGACAAAACGGAATAAAACATAGGTAAATGTAAATGGTACATCGTATTTTTGTAATAACGGCTTTGACTAGAGTGATTGAAAAGTTAGAAGGGGAATGTAAGAAAGTGGGTAAATAGAATCACTGCAGACTTAAAGCAAAAGACATAAATTATAAAATATATATAGCACCATAAATTGTTTAATTACAAAAATATTTTCTTTAAAAGATAACTTATGATTAAGCTTATGATAAGTAACATCACAGCGGACTTGTTAAACTGTGAAGATACCATCGGTTATTACATTTATAACGACTTATCCTAAGTACTATACAAAAATCTTTACATGTTTTTAAAGTTACATGGCACTGGCAGTATTAAACAGTTACAAGCTTACTATACAGTTTGACCACGTGTCGCCAAGTACTTTTCCATCTGATATTTTCACTATCACACTGGATGAACAAGTACTTTGCCTTAAGGAACACTTACTGGTTTTAAATTAATGCAATGTCAATCACACGTTTAGACTACCTATGTATTTGCAATGTGTGAGTAACCTGACACTTTAAACAATAAAAAAATGAAGTGATTTCCTAAGAAAAAAATATCCTAATGTTAAAGCAGTTTTACGTATCTCTGATACAGACTTGACATGTGCTCACTCTATCTTTCACGTTGCGAGCTTTAAGTGTTTGTTTAGTAGGTTTGCTGAATTGCTGGCTTTCTTCTATTGTTGCCAACCAGAAACTTAATTTGTTTGAGTAGTAATGGCAAGTTCCCTGGCCACCGTTACATTCGATGAACGGCGTGGCCCTGAAAGATTTCAAACAAGAACCTGGACTGGACAAGGATTGGCCTCCCCCTTCGGCCCCGGCAGCCGTGTGCTGAAAATTTAAATTAGTATACTTGTGGTTTACTTGAAAACATTTGCCAACTTACCATCAAGAAACTGTAACCAGTCCACAATGAACTCCAACCAGTTGGGCAAGACGGAGGTGAAATCGCTTGACTGTGCACGGCTATTACGTTAGCAGGAGCCTCGCAGACAACGCATCTGGATATATACTCTGTAATTTGGTTTTCTTCAACAGGCATCATTGGAATAGCAGCACTTGTCGACAACCAATATGATTTGTCATTTCTGCTTGCATAATTACATACATTGTTAACATCGCAGAAAACAAATGGCATAGTCGAGAATCGTCTCACACATGAACCAGCAAATCCAAGATCTTGAGAATGAGATTTTTCGTTTCCTTCAACATAAAGGAGAGAATATCCTTCCCATAACTTAATATGTCCATTTTCGCATTGAGGTACAATTGTGTCCTGACTGTGCTTTACCAATAATGTTCCAGTTAAGTAGTCTGGAGCATGAGTGCACGGAATACCTGGTTCCCCCTTTGGACCGATTTGTCCGTCAATACCGGCTATACCTGCTGAACCATCGAATCCTCTGTCACCTTTTTCGCCTATTGCTCCGACCAAACCAACTGCGCCAGCAAATCCTCTTTCTCCTTTTTCTCCTTCACGACCTTGTAAACCTGCTTGGCCTATAAAACCTTGTAATCCTTGTTCTCCCTTCATACCAGGTAGGCCTGGCTCCCCTTTTTGACCGTTTTGACCAGGGAAACCTGCCATACCTTGATCTCCCTTTTCTCCCATAAGACCCATTGGACCGGGTGCTCCAACAATACCAATTAAACCTTGTTCACCTTTTTGACCCATTAATCCAATTGTTCCCGCTAGTCCTTCTCTTCCATTAAATCCTCGGTCACCTTTTTCGCCTGGCAATCCAGGTAAACCTTGTAATCCTGTCATACCCCTGTCACCCTTTTCTCCTGGAACACCCATTAGACCCGGGGGACCGCTTTCACCCTTTTGACCCTCAAATCCTGGAATTCCATTTTGCCCAGGTCTTCCTTGTGGACCGGGGGGTCCCATAGGTCCAGGTTGTCCTTCAAATCCACGATCTCCCTTTTCACCTTGTAGTCCTACTGGTCCCATTTGTCCAGGTGCCCCACTCTTACCAGGTAATCCTGGAAGACCATAATCTCCCTTTTCACCCTTTTGTCCTGGAATACCTTCTCTTCCATGCTTTCCATCTAATCCTCGTAATCCCTTTTCTCCTTTTACCGTAAATCCTGTCTGGCCAGGGAATCCCTGCATGCCTTGGTCACCTAAAATAATAAATAAATTACAAAAAAAAAGTATTATTTTATTAGTGTTACCCTTTTCGCCCTGTAATCCGTTGAGACCAACGTCACCTCTTTCACCAGGATTTCCTCTATCTCCTTTAAGTCCTGGTAAACCAGGTAGTCCTACAAGACCGATATCACCCTTTTCACCTTGTCTGCCCATCTCTCCATAAAGGCCAAGTTCTCCCTTTTCACCTTTTATTTCAAAAGTTGGGCCCGGAGGTCCGCGTTCACCAAAATCTCCTTTCATACCAGGATTTCCCATTATGCCAAATGGACCAGGCTGACCTTTTTCACCTTTTTGACCAGGATAGCCATCTAAACCAGAAACACCTTGATCTCCTTTTAGCCCAGTATATCCCGGTAATCCTGGTAATCCAATGTCACCTTTCAGACCAGGCAATCCATTATGCCCATCCATACCAGGTGACCCAGGTACGCCAGGAAAACCTTTATCTCCTTTAAGTCCTGGATACCCAACAGGTCCAGTATCCCCCTTTAAACCTGGCGTACCAGGTAATCCATCTACGCCAGGTTGACCAATATTTCCCTTTTCACCAAGGGGCCCAGAAATGCTTCTACCTGGAAATCCAGCATTACCCTTCTGACCGGGATATCCTGGAGCTCCGGATACACCTGCAGGTCCTCTTATTCCTGCACTTCCTGGTTCTCCCTTTTGTCCTTTTTCGGATGCAGAGCCAGGTTCTCCTTTAAGACCAGGCAAGCCTGGGTATCCACTATCACCTTTTAATCCTGGAACACCTGCAGGTCCATAAGGTCCTGGTGGGCCGGGGTAACCGATTTCACCTTTATCACCGGGAAAGCCTCTGTCACCTGGCATACCAATTAGTCCTGGCTGACCTGGTAGGCCGTTAAATCCTCTATCACCCTTTTCACCCAAAGCACCCGGTAGTCCATCCATTCCAGGTTGACCAGGAGGGCCAGGTCGTCCAGCTGATCCTTTAAAACCTTTAACTCCAGGGATTCCAGGAAAACCAGAATCACCTTTCATTCCAGGGAATCCAAGAGGTCCTAGGTTACCTTGCTCTCCTTTTAATCCAGGTATACCAGGCTCACCTGGATATCCTTGAGGGCCAGGTGTGCCAGACAATCCAGGAGGTCCTAAAGGACCTGGTTCTCCTTTAGGTCCAGTTGGTCCAGATAATCCTGTCAAGCCCATAAGGCCCATGTCACCCTTTTCACCCAAAAGTCCTGGTAGTCCATCATTTCCGGCAGGTCCAGTTTTACCTGGAAACCCAGGTAACCCCTTTTCACCTTTAATACCTGGATAACCTTGGGGACCTGGAGGTCCAACGGCAGGTATGCCAGCCTCTCCTTTATCTCCTTTATATCCTGGAGTTCCTGGCATTCCACTGGGTCCATCTCTACCTGGCTCCCCAATAAAACCCAAAGGTCCTCTTTCTCCTTTATCTCCCCTTATACCAACTAAACCGCGTCTTCCTGGTGGACCAGGAGGACCATCTTGTCCCGGTGGTCCGGCAAAACCTATACCACCTTGATCTCCCTTCTCACCACGTTCTCCATCGAAACCAGGTATACCAGCCGGTCCTTGTGGGCCCGTTAGACCTCTGTCTCCTTTAAGCTGAGCTGTTATATTTTGTGGACATTGACCTGGTTCTCCCTTGGGGCCTATCCACCCGTCAGGTCCTCGATTTCCTTTATCGCCTTTTAAGCCTGGATATCCATGTTCACCTTTTAGACTTACACCTTTTTCACCTTTAGCCCCAGGTATGCCTGGTTGACCAGGCCTTCCATCAGATCCTGGATGTCCGGAGAAACCCTGGTCGCCTTTTTCTCCTGGTACTCCCATGAAACCAGCAACACCTGGACTACCAGGTCTACCAGTAAAACCTTTAGGGCCTTCAGGTCCTGCAGGACCTCTCATACCCTTGGAACCCTTTTCCGGTTTTACCATATTATCTGGTACCATTGCATTTAGACCTGCTGGTCCCTGTGGACCAGGTAATCCTTCCCTTCCAGGTTCTCCCTGAAATCGATAAATAATTACTAAGGCTTTTTTAGAAAACATGTGTCATTAAAGGTAAAAATGGTCTTTAATATACAAGGTGTTACTTAAGTATGTACAATAAATTAGCCAGATGTTTTATTAGTGATTTTAAGAAAAAAAGTTCATTTATAAATAAACATATATGTTATATATAATAAATATATATAATAAAAATATATAATATATAATAAACATGGGTCCAGAAATGCTTCGTTTTTAAGGTACAGGGTGTTAAATTTTTTTTTAGATTGGTTTTTTCGAAAATATCTTAAATATCCTTTACCCAATTTTATTATAATTTGTCAGTGTTATTTGTAATGTAAAGGGGATTTTGATTAAATTTATTAGTCCCGAGCGGCACCTTAACAAAAAATTTTGACGAAAAAAATTACACCACTGTTTTTTTAGTATTTGTAACTTTTTTGTTTTCGGAATTTTTCGTAGCTTGCTTAGTTTTTGAGAAAAAAATAAAATCCTCTTAATTGCATATCCCTGGACCACACAAGAAACATGGAGTAAACTTTATTTTGGAAATTATAATTTTTTATTAATAATTATGTACCTACAACACTTAATTAAATACATAACATCTAAACTAACGAATTACTAAATTAAGTCATCGGTTTTAATACAACTGTTTAGCCGCCTTATCATTGAATTACGCAATTTGTTTGAATGTTTAAATAAATGATTCCATTTCAGAGAAAATAATCTAGGGGATTCATATCGGAAGAGCGAGGGGGCTTCCAATCCAATGGTTATTTACTGCGTTATCAATCACAAAAATCTAGTCTTAAAGGCAAATCTCTGGCAATAAATAATGTTGTATTTTTAGTTGCTTAATCCGAAAAAAATATAAAAATGAAAAAAAAATTGGCCTATATTTTTTTGTCAAAAAAATTCTTCAAGGTGTTTGTCAGGACGCCACTGGATTTAAGCAAGTTAGGGCCAAATCAGCCTCTTAACATTACAAATAACAATGCCAAATTACAACAAAATTTAGTAAAGGATATTTAAGATATTTACATAAAAACAATTTTTTTAAAAAAGTTAAACATATTGAAAACAAAGAATTTGCGCATCCATGTTTACTTTTTGTCTTAAAATCATTAAAAGAATCGTGCATTAAATGTATTGTACTAAAGTAATACCCTGTATATATGTTAATGTGAACTTTTTGAATAGGCAATATTTTCACAGCCATTTTATAACGGTTAAAATCTTACCGGTTTACCAGGGGGTCCATCTCTACCAGGCACTCCATCATTTCCAGGAGCACCTGGAAATCCGGGTTGTCCTGCTGGTCCTCTTAGGCCAGGTGTGCCATCTCTTCCATCTATCCCTCTGTCACCTTTTTCTCCTCTTTCACCTGGTCTACAGTCAATGCACCTTCCTCCAATATCACCTTTTGGTCCAGGTGATCCTGGTGTTCCAGGATAACCTGGTCTTCCAGCATTTCCTTTTTCACCAGCAGGTCCAACAGGACCATTATGACCAGGAATACCGTGGAGTGAATCTCCAGGTATACCTCTTGTTCCAACGTAACCTTTTTCCCCTTTGTCTCCTTTTGCACCATCTCGTCCTGCCTCTCCAGCTTCACCTTTTTGACCCTTAAATAATAAGATTTTTTTATAAGACATTTTATCTAATTTACCTTAAAACTTACTGCTATAGAAAATCCTTTATCTCCGGGGAATCCTCGTGGGCCTTGGCTTCCTGTTGGGCCCGGAAAACCCCGTGGACCCTCTGTTCCTGGCAAGCCCAGTTTACCACCTTCACCTTTTTGTCCTTTTTCTCCAGGGGCTCCTTCAGGGCCTGGTATACCCGGTAGGCCTGGGCCACCAGGTGGACCAATGGGTCCTGTTGCTCCTTGATCTCCGTTAAATCCATCCATACCTTTTGGTCCTCTGGGACCGGGATAACCTCTTGGGCCTTGAGGTCCTGGAAGTCCTGGAAAACCTTTACCACCTCCAGGTGGACCGGGTGGTCCCGTTAAACCTCGCGAACCTGGTTGACCATCTCTACCTGGTTCTCCTTTAAATCCGGGCCTTCCCGACAAGCCAGCTAAACCTTCCATGCCTCTATCACCTTTTTGTCCAGGAGGACCAGGTGGTCCAGCAAATCCATCTCGTCCCTTAATATAGATATTTTATAAATATTGCTTAACGTTTACTTGATACTACTTACTCGAATACCTGGCCCACCAGGTAACCCTTTTTCGCCTTTCATTCCTGAGCTGCCAGGTATACCATAGTCTCCTTCGGGACCAGCCTCGCCCTTTTGGCCTGGATGTCCATAATCTCCTCTGTCTCCCTTTATACCGGTATCACCTTTTGGGCCAATAACAGTCGTTCCATTATAATTCAATCCTCCATCTCGATCAGCTGGACCACCAGGAAGTCCTGGTGGGCCGCGCAAACCCTTATCACCCTTAGGTCCATAAAATCCAACACCCATTGTTCCCTTTTGTCCTTTTGGACCGGGTGGACCACGAGGACCCTAATAAAAAAATAAAATTAATACCAGAAGTTACCAAACGTAAATATTAAAACTTACTGTTAATCCTGGGGGGCCCATATCACCTGTATATCCCTGTGGTCCTATAGGACCGGGGTTTCCAGCTGGGCCTGTGACACCATCCCGACCTGGCTCTCCCTTTTGGCCTTTTAATGTAATTTCACAATGAGCATCTTCTCCCTTGTTTCCCTTGATTCCCGTTGGACCGGGATAACCGCGAGGACCTGGCTCTCCAGGGCGACCCTCATTTCCTGGTTGACCCTAATAAATAAATATTAAATAGAAACCCACTTAGTTTGTTCGTAAATTAAATTACATCTGTTCCATTGCAACCATCTATACCAGGAATACCAGCCGAACCGGTGGGACCTTGTAAGCCGGGTACACCGTGGATACCGGGAAAACCAGGAACACCCATTTTGCCTCTATCACCTTTGGGACCTCTGGGTCCAGTCAAACCGGTTTCACCTTTGTCTCCCTTAGCGCCAACAAGGCCTTCTTCTCCAGGGTAACCTCTTTGTCCTTTCTCGCCAGCCAATCCTTGCAATCCCGGAAAACCACGGTCTCCCTTTTGGGCAAAACATTTTGGTATGCATTTGTCAGTTTTGTTTCCTGGACCTATTGCGCTACCAGGGGCATCTAAAATGTCGTAACTGGGATTTCTTGAGTTGGAAACTCGTCGCTGATTTGCTGCATCGTAATCATCACCTCTTCCATAGCTTAAAATTATTTAATATTAATTATTTAAATATGTTAAAATTTAAACTATTACCCATAAGAGCTACCAGATCTTCCACCACTTTGATAATAAACGCGTCCTCCACTTTGAGATCCTGCTTCACTTCCTGCAGATCCCCCACTGGAATATCCTTCACTTGCTGATCCGCCACTGGAATATCCCCCACTTGCAGATCCACTACTGGAGTATCCTCCACCTGACGATCCGCCACTGGAGTATCCTCCACCTGATGATGCGCCACCGGAATAGCCTCCACTTGATGATCCGCCACCGGAATAGCCTCCACTTGATGATCCGCCACCGGAATAGCCTCTACTTGATGATCCGCCACTGTAGTATCCTCCACTCTGGGCTCCAGGAGCAACTAGTCATGAAAATTGGAAAATTTTTTGTTTACAAAAAAACAAAAATCGTGAAAAAAAATATAATGGAACTTATAATCCTTGATTTTTAATTTTTTTGTAAAATTAAATGTTTTAAAATTAAAAACTGTAATAATTAACAGATGCTTCATCAGTTTCTTGAGTTAATTACCTGTTTCAGATCCAGGATAATTTCCACCACTTCCGTAACCCCCGCTAGTTCTAGCTCCACCACTAAAAAAATATATTTTTGTTTGTAATAGCCCAATACTTCCCTTAATTCTAGATTTTAATTGCTGTTTTTATCCAGCACATGTAAGTTAATTTTTATATAAAATATACCTTTCGTAGTATACGGATTCGGATGATCCTTGAGGAACACGACCAGGCAGTCTGGTTCTAGCTTCACCACTAAAAACATTTTAATTTTATTATAATACAGGATCTTATTAATAAGGTACCCCTGAATTGCTAAATACAAAAATAACTTTCATTTCACTATAAAGTGTACGAAGTGTAGAGAAAAACATAGATGGGTCAAAATTTATTTACAGGCCAATTTCAGTCCCTGGCCAAAAAAAAAATTTTTTTCAAGCATTACCTGGTTACACATACCATTCCTGTGTAAAGGCACATATTTTCCAGTAAAAAACAAAGTACGGTAGCTTTTGTATAAAAAAATAAAAACTAACGAAGTTTAAAATGACAAAATGTAACGCCGGTCACATGTCCCTGTCGTCTGTTTATTATGTTAAAGCTGTTGCATTTTACTGTCCAAAGTTGAAAATAAATATTTAAATAATTTACGATATAGAAACAGTTACGTAATTTCGTAATCAATTTTTCTTATACTCCTCTTTACAATATCAAAGTTTCGGTAGTGCCTTAAAGCTGTGTCCCCCAGATTGTGCGTAACGCCGGTAGCACTCCATATACGCTCACATTTTTGCCGCCAGATGCGCTAATATCAGTCTTCGTTAAATTTTGTGTTACGAAAACTTTGCTGCTAGTGATTTTGCATTAAATAGGTAAGTTTTCATTAAATTTTCTTAATTTTTCCTCAAATTATGAAAAAATTAGTTCATGCGTATGTTTTTGTGTCGTAACACCGGTCACATGGCCTATTTTTAATATTCTTCAAATTTCTTATTAATTGCTAAATATAAAAGTATTTTATTTATTTATTTATTTACATCAATATATGCGTTCATAATAAATATGAATATTTTTTTATTTCGTTATTACGTTTTACAAAATTTGTTTAATAATCGTGTGACCGGCGTTGCTTAAAGAAGATGCCGGAAATTCAGAAACCTACATATCCAGTGCGGACACATACAAAATTTGGTAGAAGAAACCTGTACCAACTAAAAAAATTGGGGTTTTTTAAAATGCACCGACTTTTATTTTTTAACTTTTATTTTTCGGAATTGGCCCGTAAATAAATTTTGACCCAGATATGATCGTGACCTGTGTGTGATCAGAATCTAATTTTCAATGTTCTTTTTCTATCGTAATCACAACATAAGTATGTAGATGTAAATGTTATTTTGGAAATCAGCAGCTGTCAGCCAGTAGCGTGCCGTGGGTGTAAGGGCAGAGGGGACTACTTAAGTTGCCCTTAATTAAGGAAAACAATTTTTTTTATTAAAAAAAATTTAGGCTCTTAAAATCAGGCACAGTAACGAACTCTGACAATAATTATGATTACTGACATATTTTAAAAATGTTTATTATATGTTAAAAATAGTGGTGGGAGAAAAAAGAGTTTCCTCGAACCTGCACTCCATGGAGTTTGCCGGTAATACGCGAGTGGAATCCCCTCTTTTGACCGATAGTCGCACACAATATTTTATTCAACCACCGCAAGGAATGCAAAGCCAATTTTATTAGATATTTTATTACTTCTTGGCATAATAACATAAATAACTATTATTTAGTCTACTAAACTTATTTGAAACTAAAAATGGTAAATATTCTTGTCCTATTCAATTACCCTTAACCCACAAAACATTTTATATTTATCCATAACATTAAATTTTTTGTGAACGGGGTAGAAAATCCTTCAATCAACTGGTTAAAGTTGTTACACATGCATCGTCTGGGGCGCTCCGGGACGAGCGATCCCCCCCGGCCCCCTATACAGCACGCTACTGCTGTCAGTTAAAAAATCTAATAATTGTCAAAAAAATTAAAAAATGTACCTGTAGTATGTGGTTTCGTGTGATGATTGAGGGACATCCCCGCGATTAGGTTGTGACTGATCTATATTTTCCCGTGAATCGTATTTCCTTTCCTGTCCCGTTTCGCTACTTCTGTAGTATGAATTTGGGAATCTTTGCTGTTGTCTTCTATCAAATCCTGTTCTATTTACTGACCTAATACTACTTAAATATTGCTAAAAACAACAAAATACAATTAGTTTTTTATACCATCAAAATAAGTATTCAGGGTGCCAAATTAATAATACACATCTGTGTCAGTTTGTTTGATTTCTAACTTTTTTGTCGCCGCGTACCGTTGTGTTTTTTAAGTTTTAAGTGAATTAGGTGTTTTGATTTTTAAATATACTTTATTTTTTAATTAATAATATAATATAATTAACAATAATGGCACCAGCGGAAGTAAGTTGTGAGCAAAATCTTTTAAAAAGCCCGATGTTACTTGAAGATAAACTTTTAATTAAGAAAAAAGGAAGACATATTCCCGATCTTCGAATACATTACACTTCCGCAGGTAAAGGCCGAACTTACAATAGAGTATTCAACAGAAATATCTATGAAAAATACCAGTGGATATGCGGTTGTTCAGTAACCTTTTTTGTTTTGTGCTTAATTTTCAAAAAAATAAATTACGTGCGTGGAATAAACATGGGTTAGATGATTTAAAACACATCGCAGAGAGGGCTAAGAAACACGAAAATTCAGTTTCTCGCATTAAAAACAGGAGAATGGACTTTATGTACAAAAATTAGTAGGTAATTTTTTTGTGCCCACCCTCTTCCAGAACCTTCAAGCCCCCACTGGTAACGGGAATATTTATTTTTCTAGGGGTTAAATCGGTTTCATTAGCGTTAATTTCTATTGTCATGCCTGGAAAATATGTGCAAGTTGGCTGTTTTTCGGCTGTCGAAAAGGTTATATAAAGGTAAGAGGCAAAAGGGTACAAGTGCTTTTTATCATGAAAAAAATAAGTTAGCTGCAAAATAGGGTAGTTTGATTTTTTTTTAATTTTCTCAAGTTGTACGAGTTAATGCAAACACCAATATTGAAACAAGTATCCAGATTTTTGTATAAACCAAATCTTTCAACTCACTTCTCTTTTTTGCACTGGTACCTTTTTGCTTCTTACCCCTTCATATGTGTTTACTATTACTTCGGAAATTCGATTTTCGCTGACTTTTGAGAGATATTCGTACCAACCTAAAGAATATTAAAGAAGTTAACTAGATCCGAAAGTTAAGTCGTCTGCTTTCTCCATTTTCGTAGGCATTAAATTCGCTGCGCGTGTCATGAAATAGTACATTACATATTGAGTGGCAGAAGGCGGCGATTTCTAAAGAGTGTGTTCTGCACGAGCAAGGCAAGTGTAGCAACACAATTAGAAATCGCCGCCTTTCGCCGCGAGATATGTACACTTATACATCCTGGAGCGGAGTAAAGTGGTGTTAACGCATAAACAAAAATTCAGTCCTACCAACCTAAAAACTTTACAGCTTATTTTTTAAAAGTATCAGCTGAAGTTTTTTCGCATTGCTCAAAAGTTGAATTTTTTAACCTGTATATTTTAATGAAATAGATAAATGTTTGCAATTTATGAATTTTTGTATGTTATAATAAATTAGCAAAAGGTTTCATTTTTACTTTTTTATGTTGGTTATGACTCTGCTCACAATTTATTGCGTCTTTGTGGTCGAAACCAAAACCGTAATAATATTTATATTGTAATGGGCACGATATATCGGGCAGTTAATTTTTAACATTTCTTAATTTTTTTTAAGCTTTACGAAATATGAGACTAATTTTAAATATTTGTTTTTAAAATTGTATTAGGTGTTAGGTATAAGTTTCACTTCCATACATTCTTTATTTGTTTATTATGCAATAATAATTTATGACTCCCATCTGGACGACCACTTGAGGGTTCGTTACAGAAAGAGCAAGTTTTGGTTCATGTTCCGAGTCTTAAAAAAATAAACATAAAAAGAGCGTTTTAAAAACTTAGAGGGGACAGTATATTTTAGACAGTTGTGTTTTGCTATTTGAGGAGGCAGTTACGTTTTACTCTTTGAAGGGATAAGTTTAATTCTTTAAGTTTATCAGGGAGTGAATTTAACAAATATTACATTGTTTTAATTTATATAAATTCAGTTTTTGTGAAAGTGTTGGTTATTTATATAGGTATGTCTTTTCTATAATTATTTATAATAACTTAAAGTCACAAATATCATAATAAGTGGTTAATTAATTCATATTTAATTTAAACAATATTTTATTTTCTTCTTTGTTAAAGAAGTATATTTTTTTGTTGTGGTGGGACAAACTTAGTTACGTATTTATTATAATTATTATTTTATGTTTACCATTTAAATATTCACATTTTATTATTGTTATATTGTAATGCAATGTATCATGTTATTACATATTTCTATTTAACTTTAATATACTTTGTTTTGTACAGTTTACATTATTTTGTTTATTCGATAAATTGATTGATATTCTTTATTTAATATGTTGAGACTTTGTTGTCAATTCTGAGCCATGTATGGTTGGTCCTAGGATGTATAATACATTTATTTCGTTGTGTGTTTCGCGATCTTGCTATTTATTTAATTTTGTTAATCGATCTTTGGGGACCTACTAAGGGAGTAGACACTATGATGTGCGCTGAGTCTTAGCCCCTTAATTTATTAACAAAATATGTTTTATTATATTGTTGTTGGCCAATTTAGCTATGAAGTATGAACATATGATGTTTGTAATGAAAGAGGCATGTGCATGTGCACGAGTATACGAGGGCCGTCCGAAAGTGAATTGAGTTAGGGCTAAGTTTTGTCTCATAGTCTCAGTTTTTATTTACTTTGATCATTCTTTTACGCTACTATTCTCCAAACTATTATATTTTATATTTTACGAACTTAAAATGTTTTATTGATATTTTATGACTTTATACATCTAAATGTATTTATTATTTATGACTGTACACAAATATTATTGCATTACGGTTGTCCACCGCAATACCACTTGTTATTTATATATATTTTATTCACCAATACTATTTATTATGTTCTCTGTGACTTAAGTTACAAGCTATTTTATTTTACACATTGTTTTTGTTTGTTGCTGTACATTGATAATAGTTTCAATTTGTATTTGCTATTTAAACACCGTCCGAGCCTAACTTTTATGTAGGTGAATAATCTTAACAATATGATAATATGATTGATGATATTATATTTGATTACTTGATTACTTTGATTTTGTTATATTATTTATATTGTTTAGATGTGCGACACATATGCATGTCTGGATTGTATATGTGGGTTTTTAAGGTTTTACCTTATTAACTTAAATCAATAATACTTTTTAAATACAAATGTTTTTATTTATATTATTAATGTACAATAACAATAATTAACTCTTGTATTAATTGTCTTTATTAATAAACTTATTTTAATTTAATACTTTTTCTTTGCTTTTTAAATATCTTTTCAATTGCTCAAGTACTTACGTATCCAGAACCGTATTCACAACAAAAAGGGGTCCTAACTTAATTTCTTTAAACTAGACGATCACGTGTTTTGGCCAAAGGTAGTTTTTTTGTGGTTTTAATATTCTTTCTAATTATTTTAAATGTGCCCCAAAAGCCCCGTTCGTTACAAATTGGTGTCAAGTGACCAGGATTTTGCTAATTTATTTCTAATTAATGTCAAGTGACCAGGATTTGTTTGACCAAATATTGTTTTTTGTTCTTCATAATTCATTTTTAATTAATATCAAATAATATTTTTTTTAAATATTGTTTAGCTGAATTCGTTACTATTTGATGTCGAACGATCAGATTTATTTTATCTTATATTTTTGGTTGTTTGTTACTTTTTGTTTTTGTCATTTCAACCAGAATTTTGTTTTGTACATTTAGTTTGCATGTTTGTATTTCTGTTCCCGTCATTTTTAATGTTAGGTGATCAGAAGTGTCTCTATTTATTTTTAGTTGTATTTTATATTCTTTGTCCCCACAATTGTTACCAGATGTCAAGGCTGGTAAAAGTTCTTTTTGTGTATCCCTTGTTTCGCCAAATTGGTGATATAGGTTGATTATGGTCCTGTTGACAGATTTATGGTTTTCGCACAGTGAGGCGAAATAATTTTATATATCTTGTTTTCTATTTTTTTCAGGTTAGTAAAATACTAAATTGTTGAGTTCGGCTGAATCTTCGTGAAGTCAGTATTTAGTATTATAAGCTGAATCTTCCTTAAAGCCAGCTGCTTAATTGTATTTTTTCTTGCTCCTTTTAAATTTCAGCAAATTCTTTAACTGTAGCTAAATCTTCTTTTGAAGCTAGCTTCGCAACATCATCGGAGGTAACTTACCGAAAGCGTAGCTGAATCACTTATGGTGGCAGCTGACTGATGAACCAGGGACGCAGCTGGATCTTCTATGAAGACAGTTCTTTGTTTTAGGTAAACATTGTGTTTTTACTTTTTGAGGCAACTGTAGTTAATCATCATTTGATGTAACTAATTTTGGTGTTATGTAGTTAAACATCGGTTGATGTTACTATAATGTTTGTTTTAGGCTTAACCTATCCTTATTCTACTTTTCAGGCTTCTTAAAATTTTCTTTTGGTCTCATCTTGTTAATAATTTTGTCTGGGTTACTACAAAATTTGCTGTGCTTTTCAGCACAAATTGTTGCTGCTGACTGGAGGATACGTTTTTAAAAAGTACTGGGCATTTGATTTGATAATTTTTTGTTCTTATATTATGATCTTACTGCTTTTGTTATTTTTATTTTTATGCAACAACTTTGATTGAATGAGGACCTGAGTTTAACAAGGAATATTTGATGACCTACATATTTACCAAATGTGAAATGATTTTGACACGTGATGAACTGCCATTACTGGATGGTGAAAACTTAACTGCTGATGATTGGACTTTATCAGGATGATGATGACGATGGCGATAATCATGTATAATTTTATCAGGTGTGTCATGTTTATTTTTATTTTATATTTTATTTTTTTAATATTAATTTTTGTTTTGAACATTTTTTTTGACTTTTGTACTGACCAATTAACTCAATAACATTATTAACACTATTAACCCTTGACATTTTAAGTTGACGTTTGATTTGTATTGTTTATTTTTTTGACAATGTTTATTTATTTTAATT